ACACATATATATATATATATATATATATATATATATATATATATACATAAGTTAGATAATTGAGATAGTTTTTTATTAAATAAAAGTTAACAAAAAGTATATTCATATAAATAAAAATAAAATAAAAATATAAATTAAATATATTATTAGCATTAATATATTTACAAAACAATTACATAATAATTACATTTGAAATTTTGTTTTAAGAATGTGTTTACAGAATCATATTATACAATTTTGACATATTTATTATTATAAAATTTTATATATTTATTATTAATATTAATCATTATTTTTCAAACTTTTGTTTATTATCTATCGTAAATCAATTACTTGTGTTTTCTAACGTCTAATATACATTTAATATACATTATTAATATCCTACCTGATAAGAAGGTTTCATTTTGTAATTGAACAAATGAATCTCCGGACTGTGAAAAACATTCTTCATGTGTTTTAATGATACTTTGAGTGAACACAATTCTGTGTGATTCGCGTATCTATCGTGATCATATGCAACAATATCTAATATCCATTCCTATAAAATAAAATAATTGTTAGAAGAATGAGTCAAAGCAAGTAACTTTTATATTTCTACAACGACAAATTCTGTTTGCAATAAAATATAATAATAATAACTTGTATATTTATCAGCTTTCGAACATAGACAGATATATTTTAACGATAGAGATGTAACTCGTAATTGTAATAACAAATAAAAATCATAAGAAGAGAGCAAAAAGGAATTTTACATAAGTCAATTATATATTTCATTAATTAGATGTAAATAATATTGCAGAACAAATTTTATTTTTAACTAAACTTATATTAGAATTCTTCAATCATAAATTAATTAACAAAATTATAAAATCCACTTGAATTCAATAAATAATTAGTCAAAAAATATTCATAGAAATCATAGAAATAATATTAAGAATAGGCTAGTAAGAAAAGCTAAGTAAAATATTCATGCTTATTTTTATATTAAAAAAACATACATAAATAAATGCAAATGTTTCCTGTAGTAAGGTTATCTTCGGTGTGATGATAAACAAATAAATAATATAATCGACAAAAAACATATATGTAGGATACATATATATATATATATGTAGGAAATTGAAATATCGAGTATAATACTTTATTCCAGATTATAATACAGGATGATTCAGAACAACCATTTATCCTTAAAATCTCATATTCCTGAGTCGATTTTAAGATGATTTTTCCTCTACCAAATTTATAATAAAGCACCTTCCCAGTATCATTCCGTCCAGCTTCGATCCTTCGGATGAAAGGCCGACCATCCACCCGTCAGCCTAAAGGCACAAAAGCGCCAATAAACTTTTTCAAATTTGCGTGTAATTAGTCACGGCCTATGGACTGTACGCCGGAATACGCTACTCAGCGTGATGCGGCGGAAACACCCGAGCGTGCTCGAAGGGACCCAAACGCGGAATTCGAATCATAACAAACAAATAAACAACAATGACAAATAAATAATTTATTTTTGTTATAATTAGGGAAAATATAATAATACCCACGGATCGATACATCTTTCCGAAATCATCCGAATTATTAATCGCCAGATATAAAAAGTTGAATCCGACAGCAATCAAGATAAATTCTCAATTTCCTCGGAATCATCCGCCGGGCTCGCAGAAGCGAAATCGACGAAGAGAGATCCGAGAATGAGGTTGAGTTCGCAGTTCCAACCGCGCGCGCGCGCGCGCGCGCGCGCGCGTGTGTGTGTGTGTGTGTGTGTAGTAAGA